AGCGTTTGGGTGAGCGGCGCGGCGCATGTTCTGCAACCTGTAATCAGGCCGTGCGATCATCAATTAGACAGTATACCTATACAATGATTATCATGCTACGAATGTCCTCAAGATATCAGTGGATGTTACAGCAGTTTAGAAGAAATGTATTCCGAAGACTTAGAAGAGCCAACTATCAAAGAGGAAGATTTTTATGCTTTTGATGGTTAGAACCTCGCTCAAAGTTTTTGCGTGCACATATTTGTCTAGAAATGAAGAGTGCCATGTATTGCACAGTAGTAGTCGTATGAAAAACTAAAAAGGCCCACAATACTTGTAAACTATTTGCTTGGCCATGTTAACGTATTATATAGATATCCAACTTCCCGAATAATATTCGAAAATCGAATGATAGTCGAAAGTCGAATGATATTCGATATTCTCATATTCGAAATTTTCGATTTTCGAATATTATTCGATAGTCGAATATTCAAAACTTTGATTTTCGAGCATTAATCGATAGTCGAAATTTGAAGTTTTCGATTTTTGAATATTATTTGATAGTCGAATATTCAAAATTTTCAATTTTAGAATACATTCGATATTTGAAGTAAACCCGGCAACCGCTGCCGGCAACTTATGGCCTACTCTTACAAACAACAAATTACTTGTGCAACTTATGCAGACAGCTTAAAACATTTTGCCACCCCCACGCGGTCCTTCCTTGTTTCACCGGTGATAGTGAAATTACCCTTCATTGTCGATAGTTTCAATAACGTTGGTTTTAATGTTGTCGGCGCCGTTATTAGCCGTAGAACCGCTGCACATCCCTGCACGTCCTATATTTGTGACTACTGCTAGTGCAATGAGCAGACAAAGAATATTGTTTCTGAACAACACATTAATTTACCGGATGCAGTAATAACCTAAATTTCAATCGTAAAGAAAACAGCATGCATTGAGAAGTTTGCATCGTTGCGTTTCTGTAAGCAAGCTTTTCCGAGGAGGTGAAAATGAGTACTGAATAACTCAGTCTAAAATTGTTTGAAATTCCGTTGAGTTATCGCATGCAGGTATAGTACAGCCCACTCTTCACTTGACGTCAGCTAAGTAGGAACTTTGACAAAAACTTTCATTTACTGAGCACTCGGACTGACCCACTTTCTCTAATGAGTGGTAAGTTTGTATGTTATGTAAATACATACTTGCATCATCCGTGTTTACTAAATACAGGGTGTCCCAAAAATTTATTACAAATTTGATCTTCAGTAAATCTTTTGTATAAAGAGTTATCGCGGGAATAATCTTGCTCGGTAGAGCTGGCTTAAATTAAACTTGCAGTATGGTGCTTACCTATCTCTCATCATGAATAAAGGATTACGGTGGAATTTTTGCACGTTCTGAACAGAGAGAGCACTTTGCTTCGGAAAGAAAATTGCAGGGCCTAACTTTGCTAGGCTAAGCAGATCGTTGACCCTAAATACAGTTTTCCGACGCGGATTAGGCGAAACATTCCAAATGGAGCAGCGCGTCCTCACCGCCACTGGCTCAGGGAGATAGATTATATCAATTTTGTGCTTTCTTTGCTTTACGGTAATGCTTTTTTTCAGAGATTTTCGGCCCTGCTATGGGCAGACTCTCATGTAGAATAGAAATCCGTCTTCTCCAAATTCAGTAGTCTTTTGACATACAGTAACAGTATAGGAGGTAGTCTGCGTTTTTCGTAGTGATCAAAATATTGCTGACTTATCGAGGCAACGAAGCTGATAAATGGAAAAAGTTGAATTGCGCACCGACTGAATAGGCTGAATATGGCTTTCCTGTAAATACGACACGGGGCGTCATACATCACTCACTACCTGAAACGAGTTGCTAGAGCCTACTATCGAATTATTATTTTGGTGACTTACAACTGAAAATGAAAGCCTACTAATCATCAACGAAGCAGTTTCATAAACAAGACGGTGTGGCTTACTACATTTTCAAATTTTGTAAAGGCCCACGCGAATCGTGCCCACTACCAGATGGTATCATAAGTTTGTATTAGGGGTTAGCCCTATGCTATCATGGTATGTGAATAAAAATGTAAGGTGGGACAGGATTTGTTAGAATGAAGCAAGCTTTACAAAGCGAATATCGAGAACACCGAAAAACTGATTCAAGTGAAGTTTCAAGCCAAAATCTGAGAGACCAACAAACTTTCGTCAGAAGAAATCGTCGTGTTTTCTAATTGTCATCATATAGTAGATACTTGGTAACTCATATATGCACCTGCTATGGCCTCCCGCTGAGAACTGGGAAAAAATGATAACAGAAAGTTGCTAACTCTAAAAAACTTCGCGCTAGCTCCGCCCTTCCTCTCAAAACTAGATATTGGGCAATTTTAACATTGTGAACGCGTAGGCTACGGACATTATTTATGGACTAATGTGATATTTTGGTATTTCTGCACTAAGTGATGTTTTGGCAAATTACCAGCGTGTGCAAAACTGTCGTCACTAAGCATTTGAGTGGAAAAAAGATTTACTTTTTCTCATGAGTCGCATCACATAAGCTCCTAAAAATGCATTGATTTCCTATTAGCAATTGTCAATATTCGAACAGTGTATTCGTTATGACTAAACGAGCGGCACTCTTCATATTCTCTTTCTTTATGCTCAATCAATGTGAATTATTTCTTTTGAGCTAGCTTGCCATGAAAGGCCGGTAGCATAAGGGTAAAAGTTTTCAATTATTGTGCCATTTGAAAACATCCATTTCTTAAGTTCAACTTGATTTACCACAACTTTTTGAAAAAGCGATCATTTTAAGCGCAACAATTTGTGTTACCAATTCTTGGCAATATTCAAGCAACTGAAAGCACAAGCATGAAAGAAAGATTTCGTAGCCGAAGATTGCCAAACCATTTTTTTGAAACTCAATTTTCTGAATACATTATAATCTAGCATGCAATGGTTCAGCGCAAACTTTGCTCAAGGAGTAGCCAAGGTGAGCAGTAAATGTTACTTGGTCGGGTAGGAGACTATATGTCGCCGTTAGGCTCCACCCCGCAAGGACAGCTGGTATAGATTTACAATGTTTGTAGTGTGAGGAGTAGCGTAGTTGTTGGAAGTTCGCATGTAACCCCCCTTTCGGTGACATATTCCTCCACCCACTTAGGCAAGACTTCTCACAAAAGATTTTTGTACAGTATATCGGAACTCGCTGGTATCTCTTTTTATAATGCAAGAGCATTATTCCATCTCTTCATTTTTTTCACTGTTGACGGTTTAAGGAATTCTAGTTGTTTTTCGTTGACACATGTTCCAATGCCATACTCGCTGTACAGAGCAAGTCTTTTTATGTGACTCATAAAGACTACAACGACAGGCCATGCGTATGCTGAAATCACAAGTTCAAATGTTTTGCATCATCTTTCAGCGAGGTTTTGTAGCATTATTCTCCAACAAACATCACACATGTTTCCAAAAGATTACGTCTCTTGATTGCGAATTCTCAAGGAGATAGAGCAAAATAGAACGGAACAGCAGATGAAATTAAATTATATGAGCGAAACATAAGGAAAACTTAGAAAAAAAGAGATAAAATTAGCAATGAAAAGTCATTTTATGATCAAAACTAGCATGGTAAAAAACTTACAAAGAAAGGAGGCAGAACTTTTGAAACAACCCAATACATCAATCTCTTTGTAGGCTTCTGACCTAGTCGCCATTCTCAATCTCTGTAAAGTTTTATTTCTAATTCTTACTGTTTTCATAAATTGCCGATGCTGCTGCTTTTGGCTGTGGAGAGGTACTAATTAACATTTTGCTGTTTTGATGCAGCTCGAGCTCTTGCCGACACACCATAGTTCAAAAAGCATATACAGAATTATGTATGCCATCATGTTTTACGGCTCTTTATGGCAAAGCACATGCATGTTTTTGATATAATAGCCGCAGCTAGCACCGAGAAACGTTTAATGCATGCTAGCAGGAGGACGGGGGGGGGTGAGATCTGTTTTTCTGCTGTACCGCCTATGCAGCTATGGTCACATGAGTAAACGATTGATTTCCAACCGATGCAGGGTTTGAGACTAACACAGGCATTATTGTTGCTTTCGGCCGCGCAATCTTTGGCAAAGGTAAATATCACAAAAAAATTGATGGACCGCTACAAGGTCAGCAATGTTTGAACCTTTCCATTCCAAGCCCGCAATTGTGCCCTTTTTTTGCTCTTGTAATTCAGCGTTACGTCTAATGACGTGTATTGTAAATCTCACGAGCAACTTTGGAAAATCCCTATGAGTTTTATCGTTTGCAAATTCTGTAAGATAACTCAAAATGCGCGCTGCCCTTACAAAAGTCCGATTAGATTAGCGCACCTGAGTGAACGGTTACCTGTCAGGTCACGTTGCATTCTTATAGCATGGGCGAGTGGCTGCGTTCACCACAAATCTCATCTGAGGCTTCAGTTAAGTTCACCTAAAGTGACCGAGCTTTATTACGGGCAATCGGCTAGTGCAAAAAATTTTGTGCACAGATATAGGAAAGTCATCCCCAGAAAATGGATAGATACAAGCCGCACTGAAAGTGGTCACAGCTTCAACATCAAGATCTCAAAGCTTTTTTCGGGCTACTCAAATGTCACCAATCCGTGTTTTATGGTAAAGGCAAAGTGTTTATCGTCCCATAAAGATATCAGTGCTTTATAAGCATAACACTGACACCCTACTTTGTTAAGCAAGGAAAATTTTTTTCTTTATATAATTTATTTTCTGCTTTAATGACCCAAAAGGTGTAAAACTTCGAATTCCCGCAAAGGCTATCGCACCTTCAAACTTGCTTATTGCATGAAGAACTTCATCATTAAAGATAAATTCGAGATCGGGTACTCTCTTATGGCGCTCAATTTGCGTTAAACCGCAAAAAATGCCATTCTCGGAACTAATTTTTTTCAGACACAACACAGGTAAATTGTTTGGTGAGACCTCGAGCAGATGATGTATGATAATAATGCAACATTTAGCTTCATAGGATTGACTCACATATCTTTACTGAGCATTTGACGAGAAACCAGAAAGCTGAATCGATTCCTGCCTCTGAATACTTATCATGCATTATATGCGTTTTAGCGCACCTGGAGACACGTAAAATGTGGGAATGAGTTCCAACGCCATCAGAATCTTGGTTTCAAAAATATCACTTCAATTCTTTTTACGCCATCTGTTAGTCTCAGTGTTTGCAGCACATTTCTTCTTTCCATTGAGAAAACGCCGCCAGATTGCGACAAGGTTGTTCAGACGCTATCTAATTGAAAGCGAGATTACCAAGTTTTGCCACAAAAATCGACACAACGGAAGTAAAATCCAAGAGAGGTAAGCGTTTACATAACCTTCGTATCCAAATTATCTTCACAATATATTAAAAATGCTCTTCCTTGAGAGATTAAGCCGGCGGATAATTTCTGTTACACTTTTTCTCTCTGATTATAGGTCCAGAGGTTTTCTGAGATTTGCAGATATGCTGCGTACGTAGAACGCAAAATGACCTACAGTCGAGTAGATTTTCTGCTTAATATAGTGTGCTTGCACAGTTTATGAAATGCGGTAAAATTTGCGCGTGAACAGGTAGCTGCGCCAGCACTGCCGGCATTTTGCGCGCGCAATTGGCCGGCGTCACAGTCGAAGCTATTTCCTCACGAGCAAATTTTACCGCATTTCACCTTCTGTGCAAGCACACTATATTAAGCAGAAAATCTACTCGACTGTACACATTGCATGACTGATGCCGAAAATGGCAGAAATAGCCAGCATGCTTATGGCAATTTTGTAGAAACGCTCGAAATTTTCATTGTTTCTGCAATTTTTTCCCTGCTTTTGATCATGATTTTTCTTTCCTGGGATTTCATGAAATGTATTTTAGCACTGTCTCTTTTGTGGTAATACTTTGGTGCCACAAGCGCGTCAAAAATAGGGGTAGAAAACCTCAAAAATTCAAAAGTCATTCAAAAATTGTTTTTGGTGTACATCGCATAGGATTTGATACGAATGAAAATGATTTTTGACACTTTCTAAAAGAATGCATGACAAAATGCGAATGTGTGCCAATATGGGGCACCATTAATTCAGATGAGCATGTGCAGACATGTTTATGTCATCCCTTCATAATCGCTAAAAACCATATACTATACCCTGCTCGATTACCACATCAACCGATTTCTCGCTAATCACCTGCAAGAATGCCAATCCATTCAGAAACATGGCCATAAAAAGAACTTTCCACCCTTAAAGTGGATATTTGCGCACGGACCACAGATCTGACAACCCGATGGGTAAACCTTTGCACCCCATCAACAAAGATTTTCGAAATCTTCTTACCAGGGGAGGGTAATTGGTGAAAGTGGCTCACCATGATGATACAATATCATTAAATGCGTCTCAAAACGGCTCATTAAATCAGCTATTGATATTTATTAAGCGATCACCTGGAGTTATGAAAGATTTGTCTATAAGATATTGTACTGTTTCATTCAGGCAAACTATGAATATCTAAATACTATGAATAAACTATGAACACTAACTGCTACTGACGACGCGCGCATTTTGACGGCAGAACAGTTGAAAATAAGACCGATCATAAGTTGTGTAGGAGGACCAACCGACCGAATTTCCTGGTACTTAAATAAGATCGTTAATCAGCTTCTGGACAAAGTTCCGTCTCATTTAACCAACACGAATTATTTTTTGGAACCCTTCGCAATACTACTTTGCAAACGCAATGTATAGCAGAATCTTTTGATGTCGTGTCTCTGTACACGAATGTTCAAAATGATGATGCTCTGCAGGCAGTTTCGGAAATGCTGAACAGCTTTGGTAGCAACATCCAAACCTTCGGGTTGAGTACAAGATCGGTTATGCTCCTGATCCAAGAATGCCTTTCTTGTAACATCTTTCGGTGGTCACGAACATACTATACTCAACTAAGAGGTCTTGCAATGGGACAGAGACTAGCTCCAGTACTGGCGACCTGCTTTATGAGCAGAATAGAAGAACCAGTGCTGTCACGTATGCCTCTTATGTATTGTCGTTACATCGATGACTGTTGCGTCATAACATCAACACAATCCGAAATGGATGAGTGTTTTCGACTACTCAATCAACAGTCACAGCACATAAAGCTTACGCGGCAGCAACCGAAAGATGGTTGGCTCCCCTTTCTCAACGTACAAATCAAACTGTTCAACGGCGCTGCGAGTGTGAAATGGTATCGTAAAGAGAGTTCCAAGAATATCTTGATCAATGCTCGTTCTGCACATCCGATCGCTGTTAAAAGAGCTGTCATTCGTAACATGCTCAAAACAGCAACGAACGTATGCACAGGAGAAGAAGAACGGAAGGATTCACAGCAAACAGCACCAACAGAAAGTACCTCTTTGCATTCCTTTCGTTTTTGACAAAACTAGTGCTGCAGTGCGGCGATGCATTGATCGGGCGAACTTGAAAAACTGTCATTTTAGTTGATATTCCTAGTGATAACATCAGAAAGCGGCTAGTTAACAGACTATACGACAACTACTGCATAGTCCAAGACTGCGTAGTTTGTCCATCCGGTAAAACTGGTGACTGCGGTAAAACGGGTGTTATATATGAGATTGAATGTGTCGAGTGCAGCGCCACTTATATCGGAGAGACTGGGAGACCGCTTTGGGTAAGAATAAAGGAACATTTTGCCAGCAAGAGAGGGGAAGTCTTACCACACCGCTTGGTAAACATAGGGTTGAATTCCATTGTGGTAAAGACTTCAAAATAACGTGCACTATACTGGCATATGAGTCTGATACTGCTAGTAGAAAAGCTCTCGAGGCATTCTGGATTTTTGCAAGAAATCCATGCATGAACAACCGAAATGAGTGTGCGTCAATCACGAATGACTTTATGCCTTTTATGGCATTATGTGAGTTGAAGAATGCCACTGATTAATATCAATATGGTATACACTGTATTCCATACTAATGGCACTCGAGGACGGCCGCATTCAACATCCACCTGAGCGGCAGCGGCGGAGAAGGTCAGTTCGTCTTTTGCGTACTTGCGTATTTTTATTTGTAACATTCGGGGGTGGAATCGAGGCTGGCCAGGGGTGGAGGAGGTTTGTGGTGGGGTAGAGCATAAGATCTAAATCTCCTACCACTTTAGGCCTCTGAAGAAGACGAAATCGTCGAAACGTTAGGCCGCCACTACTAACAATAAATCTACTAACCTCGTGCTGGCATACTAACTACTCACCACATTACAACTAACTATGCCGAGGTTAAGAAAGGAGGAAACATGGAAGTTGCTATGAATATCGCATAAATTTCTTGGAACTATATTTGGAGAAGAGGGCCATCACTTCGAGCTTGGATAACTGTCTCATTTGCGTTTATCTCCAAAAAACTTAGATATCGATAATTTTGACTATGCTTTAATGTGCAAAAACTATAAGGAAAGAAGCTCATAACTCATTTCAGACTATTATAGCAGATAGCGAAAGCAGATCTCTGGTCAGCGTTCTAGACGCATTCAGTGGTATATGTCTCATTAAAAATGGCCACGGCCACCAGTATTCTTTCCCTTGTCAGATTTTCAAGAAATCAAAAGTGTGACAGAAACTGTTTGCTAACCTAATATTTTCATTCTAAATCACTGGCACAGGTTCACTTGCCTTGAATCTTTGATAAGTCCGCCACAACTCAAATTTTTAAATTTAGAAATACTTTGCGCCAATAAATAAACAAATATTATTCTGCTAATCATAGAGCCTGGCGGACCTGTTCAACAAGCGTAACATTAGCAAGGCACTATTTTTCATTTCTAGGGAGGTATATCAGATAGCTCCATAGGTTGTACAGTATTATACTTGAAGGCAGTGTCCAGGCTAAATCTAATCCCTCTTAGCGCCGATCTTGAATGTAGGCCCCAGGAGAGGAGCATCTGCGTTTCTCAGTCCTCTAATGTTGTCTCTGAATGGAGATAGTGGAACTGGAACAGCAAAAGTGCTGTCAAACCACGCCCAGATCTCATCAAGCTCCGCGTTCATTTTGAGCAAAGTATTAAAGGTCATTATTTTTGCGTGTATATAGTACATGCAACTGCAAGCCCATGAATATCTATCAATTTTCCACCAAAGACAGTCAAACTTAGCAGGAGGTAACATCGAACAGCTAGTTGAATTGGATTTTTTAAGCTGGACGCGGAAATGCACCTCGCACCTCTTGACGTCTCCCACGGAGCATTGAATCAGTGTATTATTCTAAATGCGCTTGGAAAAAGTGGACTATATAGAGATGTACCTAAAATCATTCCTAGTTAGTGTAAATAAGCAAAACATCATCAGGATTATCAAGGAGAGCAATAGATCTAAAATCCTACACCATTCTTTTACATCATGAGAAGGTGTATTCAAAAGTAAATGAAGATGGACTGAATCCGGACATCCATAACGACCAACTCTTTTACCCATGCTTGTACGCACTTTCCTTACGAACACTCCATGGATTTTGGCTACTAGTGAATGCACTTTTTAATGTCATGCACTCAGTAAAGCAATTTTTGGGCTTACAAGGGAATGGTCAGAAATCGAAGTGGCTGTTCCAAACAAGCTGCATACCATTCATGCAGCCTCAACACGGTTATTCGGAACGCTGAAGTCAGTCCGTGTTTGGTACCTGCTGTGCGTTTCTGTATGAGGAGTTGTAATCATATTTCTCCGAGTTCGCACGGCCGACAGTAAATGGAAGGCTCGCAGCTGAGATCCAGCGGCACTTGTGGCCTAGTGGATAGTGTGCTAGACTACGGAGCTGGTGGATTGTTTGGGTTTTAAGTCCGTTCGTGGGCAGCATTTCTGCTAATGTACGTATAATTTGGAGCAAAGCATCATTTCAGCCCTCAATGTCCAAGTCCTTGGAAACCATGAAAAGATTTCCATGAACGGATTTTTTGATCTTCTAAAATTCAACACCTACCTGCGCAAACAATTTTACAAGGATCATGTTCGATTATAAATTGAAAAAGAGAATGTGCTCGCAACGAGCGCAGCATATAAATATTTCTTCCGCCACAGGCGTGAAACCAGCAGCTCCGACTAAAACATAATTGTGCAATTGCACAACACACACTGATTATTGGATCATAGCTTGTATGCGTGTAGTACCTAAACCGCCTATTTGTTCTGTTAAAATACGTTCTGTTGTTTTATGTGCCTACAGTCACAGTGTTGAGAACTCCTGCTGTTTTCCTGCGTTTCAATGTCGATTTCCACTGTTACAGAAGGCGCGATATAGCGGGAGCATGTAGTGGGTTCCAAGTTCAAAAAGTAATCGTTCGTCATCAAAAATGTTGCAGACAAAAAAGCTGTATTTAAAGTCCATTGTTCAACGCACTATTCATTAGGCCACCATTCAATTTGTGTGCAAGGCTCGCAGTTATGAACCAACCTGTGAACTCGGAAGAACAAAAATTGCTCATAAACAAAGAGATAAGTCCACAATGAGAAAGAACATTCCAAGAATTCCAAAACATCCGAAAGGTAACTACTATTTTTTACACGACCGGTTTCGGGGCTAAGAACTAGACCGGTAGTGTAGCTTTCTTGGTGCCCCATCATCAGTAGTTCCCAAGAAAGCTTCAAAAGGTACTCATAAACACGATTACTAAAGAGTGGTAAAGAGCCAGAAACAATTATGAGAATTAGCCAATTTAACAAAATATAACAGATGCAGCGTAGAGGATGGCGAACGTGAGCACAAAGAGAGTGATAGACACGATGGCATGCATCAACTCAATTTGAATGTGACCTTGCTATTCCGGGGCGTTATCTTTAGTCCACAATTCTTGTAGGTCATGTATCAAAGGGAGATGAATAGCCGTAGGAAAACCATACTTACGTAAAATGAATGGCCTGTCATGTAAGGTGTGGTATACGATATTTATGAAGTAACTACCTTCCCATCCATTATTTTTGGATATCTTACCTAGATCTATTACTCTTTCCTTAAACTCTAGATAGCCAGAACAGTTTCTATAAATTCTGAGTACTTCTGAAGTAAAAGTATTTATTAGTATGTATCTGCGTATGTTAGATTTCCAATGAGGATACCTAATAACTCTAAAATCATAGCTATCTGTTTTATTGTACAAACTAAACTTAACATTATTCCGGTTGCTAGTATCTATAGTTAAGTCTAAAAAGTTTGTAACTTTGTTATTACTGTTTGTTTTTTCTATCTCCAATGAACTGGGGTAGATTTCGGATATGTGTCTCTCAAATTCCGATGCATCTTTTGATACATGTAGTATATTGTCTATATATCTAAATGTGTGGTTGAACATGTATTCTCTATGGTTATCGGGTGTGTTCACCAGTCTTCTTATAAATTCATATTCCATATAGGCTAGTGTTAAATCTGCAATTTGTGGGCTGCATGAGGCTCCTTGGGGAATACCTCTTACTTGTTTATAGAATATACCCCCAAAGCACAGATAACTTGAATTTAACAGCGAATCTATCATGTAGAGAACGTCTTCTTTTTGAAAAATCTTGCCATGTGCTGTGTGTGTATTGGTATATGAGACTTTACCACCGTATATTCGAATGTATTTGAAATCCTTCATGCACATGGCTATGAGCTTGGTGAGATTTTGTCTAACAATGTTGTGTGGTAAACTAGTAAACAGACTTGAAAAATCCGCTGAGTATAAGCTCAAGTCTCCTTTAGCTGTCATTAAGTCCTTCACCACCTGTCTACTGTTTTCTATAGCCCATGAGTGTTTTGTATGTATGTACGTGTTCTCTGCCAGATTACATTGCAGTAGTTATTGAAGTGCTTTTTTAAATGTGTTAGTATCAGCTGAAGAGCAGTAGTAAGAGGTTTCAAAGAACTTTTTCTAGCTCCTGTTATGTATCTAAACTTAATGGGATTTTTATGCATTTTCGGGATTCCATAAATTCTAGGTATCTCCTTAAATTTGTCTTCGAACTTGATGTTCAATCCGTTAAGTATACTTCTATGCCTATTCAGAATATCTTCTTCTAATAACGAAGTGTTTTCGTACGTGCTCCCTTCTGCATTAGTTTGTTCCATTTCTCTTTTCATCATCTGTACGTAAAACTTTTTGCATGTAAAACTAAAATTAGCACTTGCTTTATCTATGGGGGTTATAATGAAGTGTTTCTGTATTTTTCGTAGTTCTTCTATGTCAAACTGATCTTCTTCTATCTCTTCCTTATCGAACATATTGTACAATTTTGATTTGATTCTGTTCTTAATATTTTCATTCAAAATATGCTTCAATAATTCACTATTGGATGTGTTATCTTTCAACTTGCGCTTATATTTCACGACTAGTTGAGAAGCCAAATCTCTTATAACCGTAAACACATCTTCCTTGTTGAACAAGGAGTGCTTCCTAAACTTTGTCCCCTTTCTTAAAACATTTCTCAATTTGACGTCTTTCACGAATTTCAAATCCCCTGTGCATACATGCCCATGATATGCATCAATGAATTTAACATGTCTTATACATTCGCATTCACTTCTTTCAATGGAAGTAATGAGATTGTAGTCTAGCTTTCTTAAAAAGCTGTTATAATTGTAAACTTCCAATCCAAGGGGCCTGCTCAAAGTATAGCGTATTGTTACTTTAATTTCTTCTAGTTTTGTTATGTCTTCCACATTGATGTGTTCCTTTATTATGTTCTGTATTCTCTTACTATTGCATAAATTAGCTAGTTTGAGTCTGTCCATTATGTTTCCCAAGTAAGGTATGATAATAGTTATATTTTCTTCAGTTTGTTTTGTACGTACCTTATTTTCCCAAAAAGGAGTTGCTATCAGGGCATATATTTTGTACCTATGTTCGAATGTCAAAGTCTTAAACTCTGGGGTGAAAGAATAGTTAATGAGTCTGTTTATGTCTTCTTTGTTCAATGTTCGAAAGTATCTAAGAAGTGCATTACTGTATAAATTGCTTATTGTTGTTAAAATTTCTTCCGTTCTATCCACGCATGTACTTTTTCTTTTCGAACTTCTCTTCCTTCCCCTTTGTCTCGTTCTTTTAACTGGACACAGGAAGTAGGGATGTCCTTTCTTTTCTAACGGACTGATATTATCCGATATATTTCCAAACCCTTTTATCTGATCATTAAATCCAAAAGGATATGCCGTGACCATATATTGGATCCATTGTAGTTCTTTATCTCTTAATATCCTTTTAATATTATCTGTTTCCGTGACATGGTCAAGTATTTCGATACTTATGTTATCGGGGTTATGTCCTGTATCTTTGAAGTGATTTACCATAAATGTATGTAAGTTGTACTTACGAAAACTTCTTTTATGTTGATTTATTCTTGATCTTAAAGTTTGTTTTGTTTCGCCTATAAGTCCTTACACAGATATGTGCAGCAGATACGAATAGGATAGAATTTAGCATATTGAAGATCCTATCTTGTTATAGCCCTCGTCTGAGGCCTCACGGTCGCTCAAGGTCCTTCCCTGGTAGGAAAAGCAGGAAAAGATCAAGTTTTCTTCTGACTTCGATTACATAATCCTCCGCAGCACTTTCAAAAACACTAAAAAAATTTTGGAGCGAAAACCTTGTTGTTTGCATTAAGAATCCAACCTGGCAATGACGACTCCAGGAGAATATACGCATCATTCGACATAAGACCGCTTACCTGTTGGTACAGAGCGTAGTCACCGCCCAATGAGCAAGAAAACTCAGTGTTAAAAAGGTTATGTAAAGTGCCTAAAAACATATGGCAAGCCGCAGCTCAGATCCCGCGCGATTGCCTTGAGCTCTACAAAGCGTTCGTGTCGTCAGAACCTTTCCTACTCTTGACGTGGGAAAGGATTAGAAACAAGCTTCAATTGCTAACAAGTGTTAAAAACTGATTAGGAAGCACGTTCGCGACACGGTGCTAAGAAGCTCAGTGGCGGTTGCAAAACCAGAGGCGCTCAGGTTGGGCTCACCCCAAATGAGAAAAGTCTCATAAGGACTTGAGCAGGATGATAGCGGTAATAATTGAGCAAGCGCGTATGTTCATTTTCCTGCTGTAGAATGGCGATTTACCAAAATTATTGTGTGATGAGCCATTCAAAGCAGTTGTAACTTTAAAATAAGTTGATGATATAACATTTCCTATGTAAGTAACTAGTGTTGATCAGAGGCAAAAAATAAGACTTGGAGTAAACAAACCCTGTTTATGGAAGAAAGAAGAATTAAAATAGAAATGCACTGTTAAAGGAAAAGGTGCTACAGTCTATAAGCATAATCTTGATTTGCTAATATGTGCGGAACCTACCAAAACCCATTTGAAAAATGATAAGAATTTCGAACAGCACAAAAATGCTCTTTGTTTTTTGATACGCACTACTCCATCATGAAGCTTGCGCAAATTACATTTTCACCAACGTTGTTTTTAGGTCAGGTATCTAGTAACCAATTCAAGACATTCACTAATACCTGAGATGCGAGTACGACCAAAATCGCGACGATTATTTCAATGCATAACGATCTTGGTGAGTGAGCTAATCTTTTTTTCTGCTTCGGATACGGCGCTATTCCACATAAGTTGTCCCAAAAAATGAAAACCGTGAATTTCGCTAAAACTTCGTCTAGGAGGGTTATCTGGTATGCTGAACGCGAATATGATGTTTATTTCATGCGACAGCGCAATCCGGTGGAATTACGGTAGGATTACGGTAAGGGGTCGAAATCACGGATTTGCCCGAAACTCGGCCCAGAGGGGTTATTCGGCCCGCTGATGCTGAATATCACATTGGTTTTGTACCGTAGCGTCGTTTTCATGGGTTACGGTGGGTATACGGTAGAAGGTCAAAATCTCAAAATCCGCTGTAACTTCGCACAGAGGGGTTATTCGACATGCTGATAAGAAATGTCACACTTTCGCCGCACGAGAACGTCTCCCTGCATGATTAGGGTAGGTTTACGGTAGAGATCAGAATCAAAAACCTGCAAATATGTCCTTCCCCTGTGCTTTGCGTAGGCAAAAGCCGCAGCAGGATGTGCAGCGCGGTGGTCATGTGCGCAAAGCTTCACGATCGTCCGAGTCGCTACACCCGTTTTTCAGGCAGAACTATGTTTTACACCCGTTACTGTGTAGCTGCCCTAACCCGAGAAAGTGACGCTACGGTTCAAAACCAATGTGGTATTTGGCATCAGCGGGCCGAATAACCCCTCTGGGCCAATTTTCGGGCAAATCCATGATTTTGACCCTTTATCGTAGTCCTACCGTAACTCCACCGGATGACGCTGTCGCACAAAATAAACATCATATTCGTGTTCAGCATACCAAATAACTCCCCTAGACGAAGTTTTAGCGAAATTCAAGATTTTCATTTTTTGGGTCAACTTATGTGGAATAGTACCCGGATACCTTTTCATGAGTCGAGCTGTACTTTTGAGTGCAGCTACTTGATAACAGTTTCAAATTGCTTTTTTGTCGTGCATTTTATCCATAACCATCAGATTTCTGCATCTTCAAAAACGCTGCAACGTTGTCTTACTCCGCTTCCATGCAATGTGTTTCTACCATTTTGCATCCAAAGCTATTGATTGCAATACTAGTTTTGACCAAAAATAAGGGAATTTGCTGATACAATGAAACTATATTGAAACTAAAACAGAATGTACTTTTCGATTCGACGATATTGGCGGCTGAAAGGCGACGCACGCGCCCGCGACGTCTGCGTCTCTCTCGCGAGCGTACTCTTCGATTATTCCCTAGCCTTAGGCCTCGAAGCCCCGTCTCTCAGCCGCCAATTTCGTTGAATCAAAGGACGGGTTCCTGTCGATGTTGTCGGACTCTTTGAATATTGCAACAAAGAGCCTGCTTGTTTATGGAATGTATAAACAATAACTATGAAAAAGTTGGAGTGCTCTTATTAGGCTTTAACTAAGTTTTGCATTTCCTTTCATAGCTTTAGACTTGAAGCCTTTTGCTCATCACGAAAAAAGGAGTGCGGGCTAGAAAACGGAGCAAAACGCTCCTTTTTTGATGACAACATGGATAAAAACTAGGTAGTTTCGAAAATTGAAAATTAGTACAATTTGAGGATATTTGGGGTTATAAGCACAAATAATGCCGTTTGCTACCTAGATCACGCACAACAATCCGAAATTGCACATAGATTGTTGCCAGAGGTCGTTTTATTTCACTCAACGAAATGTAATTTGTTTATAAGTCGAGATCATGTCAATATACCCCCTTTATGCCAAGTTTCAGCCATCTGTGATGATCCAAAAAATTTTCCTTTTATAGCTATGCCTAGCGGAACCCTTCACTACGATATCAGAATTCAACAGAATGGTAGTTGCACTCGTAACTTGAGTCAGAGCTCACATAATGGCAAAATATGAGCGTGTCATGCTCAAAGAGAAAAAAGTTAGAAAGAGAGTTGAAAACTTACATTGGAAGCGTGATTAGTTGAAGTGGCTTTTACAGATGAGCCCATACTGCTTTGAAGAGCATTAAGCCATGATTTCAATTCTGCTTTCCAATCTGCCAAGCCTGGACGCCGAGTTGTGGGCGTTTTTCAGAACAGAAAAATGAACGCAAAAGTGGAGCAAAATTGCCCAAGTTTGCTCACATGGTCCAGTGTCAAGTATCAGAGTCGTTTTATGCAATGGATACATGTTGTCTAATATGCTAATACTTAACAATGCTTTATCTGAGCGCTGGAAAGATTGTAGCAATCGAGTTTACCTAAATTCTGCATTCATTTTTCGTTCCAGAAAATGGTCATAACTCGCCGTCCAGAGGCGCTTGGCAGATTTGGAAGGCAGATTTGGAATCACCCTAGAATACTTTTCAAAGCAGTACGGGTCTCATCTGAAAAGTGTCGTAAGCGCGCTTTTGTCGTCCGCAAACTCTCACAACTTTCAAAGCAGCCTTGCACCTTATAGCGCTGAGGCGCGAAAATTCTTCCAGAGGCCGCGCGACTGCCACTAGTATACCGATCGGGACCGCAGAGAATCTGTAGTTTATTGGTAACATACAAAAAATACGCAAAACAAAAGAATTCAAGGAACAAAATAATTAGAAAATTGATCATTTATCCCTTCATCAGTAAGTTGCATACAAAAATATAACAAAACGAAAAAATTCAAAAGAAGAATAACAAAATAATTACACAATTAGAATTATTTAACAGTTTGTTGGTAACTTGCAATGCAGACAATATATTGAGTAATTCCGAAAGTAGTTTTGCTTTAAGGGGCGACAAATTTGATGGCAGCAATCGAGGCAGCATTTTATCCTTTTTCCAATGTTTGTAGTTTCAGAACAGAACCTCTTTTGATATGCTCAAATTTCACAATTTTTCTGAATTTTTATATCAACCCTCCAAAGGATTTTGAGTTCGAGTAGCCCTAGTAACTGGTGGATAGAGCAAACCCTACAGGATACGAAACAGTTTTTTCTTCTTTCCATGACTCGTCATGTTTTGATAGATTTTTAACTTATGCTACGTATATACTTGGTTGACTTAAACCTCATAGATCATCAAGCAGCTCAAGTGTTATACGGCTTCCCCCCTCTTTCTAATAGGCCTTTTTTGTTTTCGCTTCGTGGAGTCTTCGAGGATAAAATCATCATGATTTAGGTTTTCGAAAACTTCCGGGCTGTAGCCAAAAAATTCGAAATTAGATATTTTGAGCTCACAACCTCTCAGTTGTTTTGTAAAATTCGTGATAAAACACAATAACATATTGGAAGCTTCAAATCCCGAAGAATTATTGGTATTTGGTGCGTTTGTGTCTGAAGTAGGTCTGCCAAAACCAATGGTTTTTTTTTTGAAAAAAAATTACGGCGAGATATGGAAGGGAGGAAAAAGCTGTGCTGTTTTTTATAGGGTTTGCCCCATCCACCTGTTACTTGAACTCCTTCAAAGGATTGGTTAAAAAGTTAGGGAAATCGTGAGTTGGAGCATCTCAAAAAGCATAGGTCGCAGATTTTGGTAATTTTTCCAATCCTAGAAAGAGAACGATATGTTGCAGTGCATGCCACCAAGATATCTCAAAAATGTTTGTTTCAAACGTGAAAAACGCTTTGAAAAAAGGGTTTACTTTTGGAACGACTCAGTAGAAAAGCAAAAACAATAAAAATTAAAATGACTAAATATAATTATCAGATTGAATCAAGAGTATAACAGCAACAAAAATTAGAGGAAATTCAGTGAAGCGGACATATCCAATTTTTTCCCATGCTGAAAAGCAAAAAAATTATCACTTGAAGAGTGACTTCATATTGAATACAAAGAACTAACTATCAAAGAGATTTTCTTGTATTAACCTTGGTTTATAGCAGAGGGACATCGAACATATTTAGTGTTGTGGGTGCCAATGGTAAAAAAACAGCCAAGTAGGTCAGAAGTTAGATTGAATGTCACAGCGTTATAATTGAAAAGCACAACTGTAGTTTTGATTGTGGTCGCAATTTTTTCGTGCTCTTTACCTTTATTTGTTTTTTTTGTATAATTTCTATTTCATGAATGGCTAATAAAGTGCAAAATTTGTGCAGTTAAAATTTTGTGTTGATCGATATAAGATATGCGGCAATTGCGCGACTTTGAGAATTCCTCGCACCTTAGCGTGATAAGAGGCGAGGATGCTGTGAAAATTTCTGGGCGAAAGTTTCCGGACGGCGAGAGCGCGTTACGTTTAGCAGCGGCGCTGCAGCCAGCTCTGGCTGCTGCTGCGCCACCGCTAAACGTAAACGCGGCACCAAGCGGTGCCTAGGTAACATTTACTGCACACCCGCCTAAGCGAACTTGCTTAACACATTGGCGACCGCTTGACACAGATGGTCTGTCAAGGTTTGATTTTTATTAAAGTGGCTACTATCTTGGGTCAAACCCACTTCGGAAGTTTTTGTGCTGGATCTAGATATAACCTCCACTGTCTTTGTTAGCCTCTCAACGCTACTGTAGATATGCTGTAGATGAGATTATGCGTGGTATTATCCAGAAATTGTTTGATTGGTCCGTGAAAGGCATTGGTTTTCAATGTGTTAAAATGGAAATTATCTCCAATGAATTCAACAGCTTGCGATATGAGAACGCAAAACTACAATCGAAAATTCGGGCTCAGCAGTGGTGGCGCTTTCATACGCTGGAATCGTTTTCTGGGGGAGGAGCAAAAGGGAGATCGTAAGTTCTCAAGGATTTCCGGGTCTGACAGGGTAGCAAGCACAATTTGTACACATAATGAGCCCGAATTCAAGGCTATAACGTCATTCAACCACTAACAGTCAATTAACATGTTACAAATACGATCAGTGCACTAACTTGTGTTCCCACAATTCCCAACTTATAAAACTTGATCTTTATACACAAAAAAGTTTGTTTGTCAGTTGCGTCAGCTTGTCAGTTTGTTCACAGCTGTTAAGCAATGTTGAGCCATTCAAATTTGGCGTATACAGGGCTCCTAAATTGCAGAGTCGTTTGCACCAGCGGTCGCGCGAGCGCGTCGCGCCCGTACATCTTGCCGGCGCCGGCGCCATCGATCGAGGCGGCGCCATTGATGCCGGTCGCGCGACCGCTGGTGCAAACGACTCTGCAATTTAGGAGCCCTGTACATAGCTTCGCGACGATGAGGAAAAAAAAGTATGAAAAATTATGTAAAATTATGTGAATGAAGGAAGTTGCAAGTATCTACCTATTTTTTCTGCTCCCGCGCACAACCTGGGAGCACCCTGATGTTGTGCAAGACCAAGCAAAGTCATAATTTACCCACTTTCTCACATAATTTTTCAAAGTTTTTCACATAAATTTATTCTTCAGTTTGAGCTCCATCTATAAGTACACGCTTTAGCCCAGGTATCGACCCCACTGCTTCCCTATGGCAATCAACGATACAAAGGACCTTCTTCTTTTTTGCCTTCTGCTGTTTTATTCCTAACTTTTTTTTTCAGTTCCATCCACTCAGTTCGCTGCAAAATCTAAACCGTACTCCACAGATCCACAAAAGGTCATTCGTAAATTTTGACAGTGTCAAAGGAAGATTCCCATATACCACCTCGTGCTGGGCCCTAATTTGAGCATCTCCTGAGCTGGATGACCCAGTGGAGGAACTGGTGATTACATTGCACAGATATCTTACATGAAAATTTTTGAAAACCTCAACAAACAAAAATTAAAAACGCACACCGTAAGGACGCCAGAGCGCGCTTTGCGTAGACATCAACTGGCACCCTTCTGACGTCAGCGCTTATGCTGTGCAAACTGAAACGATGGAGGCCTTTGTAAACACCGAGCGTTTGTGAATACGGTACTGAGTTAGCCTACTCACTGAGTAAGCTAGCTTAGCAATGGAAGGTTGTGAACACCTACCGTGGGCCACTGATTAGGCTAATTCGCTTGGCTCTTTGATAAGTACGGTCACTATTTGCTATGTTCATCACTTATAGACTGGTTGAGAGCAGAAAAACAGATTGAGGGCGATTTGCAAATCTTTGTCTAGTTTCCGTCTGGTGGTACGAAAGAAACAGTATTTAGAAATTTATTTGCTTTTAGTAATGCAAAGCATCGACTTTCACATAAACTTGTATCTGTTCTTTGTATCTCGGACTGACTTGCGGCAGTTTACCACATTTTTAGAGTTGAAAAAATTGCATATTTAGCGTGTTCTGATTTAGAAGTGAACAAAAATCAAACTGCCGACTCTAAATTCTTAGTTCAAGTGTTGAATCTCTTAGTTCCAGCTCCTTCTGTTGTGCTCATTCTATGTTCTGCAAAACTTTTATGATTGGAGCGATATCAACGCTCAGTCAGAACTATCGGATAAGGAATTTGCCGAGGTGTTTGAAGAAACATACGGCGGCGACAGAATACTGTAAGTTCTTTGAAGTTTCAAGTTTAAAAAAGCTCATTCTATTCTTGGAAACGCGTCGATATCGATTTTGTTACGTAAGCAGAAAAGGTTGAAAGTACCCACTACTTTTCTATAATAATCAAGTTTTCTATAATACATCAAGATGACTGACTCATATTTTAGCGAAGTTCTTGAGCTGGAAGATGGAGGTCACATACGAATCATAGACAGGCCAGTTTTGTCGTCTGGAAAGTGAGTAAAGTTGGTAATTTTATTCAAACAGAAATTTTACTTACAAGGGAATGGTCAGAAATCGATATGGCCATTCCAGACAAGCTGCGTAGCGTTAGATGCAGCATGAAGCGCTGACTCTTAATCTGTCTTCTTTATCTGCTTATCGCTTTCCTGGACGAAGTTATAAGCCATTAAAGGCAGTAGATCGGCAGAATGAGACCCGTGACAAAACAAGGTCACAGGGTAGGAGCCCTCATATGGAACCTATCGGTCAAAGTCCGATCTTTCTCATCCCATGGTGGGCGGGGCCAGAGGATACAGGAGATGAGCGCTGCATCCGCGTTGAAATTTCGGGGATTAAAAGTGGCAGAGAAAGATCGGACTTTGACCGATAGGTTCCATATGAGGGCTCCTACCCTGTGACCTTGTTTTGTCACGGGTCTCATTCTGCCGATCTACTGTCTTTGACATATTGACGACTTCTTGACACACCATGTGTGTCAAGCAATGACTACCACGTGGGATTGCTTGACACACATAGTGTGTCAAGGCTTCAACTCCGTTAAAATGACGATTACTTTGGTAGAAACTCATTCCAAAAGTTTTCTTTTGATGTGGATTTGAAAATGACCTTTTGACCTCTACTTTTTTTGCCAGCCTTGCACACAACTACTTTATGTATACTGAAGATAGCAAGTGTGCGTGATTTTATCTAAAAAATGCTGACTGGTCAGTAAAAGCTCTTGGTCCCACGAGGCAGACAAACCAAAATTTGCGTTGTCGCCAATGTGTTAAAGACCACTATTTTGCTTAGAAATTATGCGTGAAATTGAAAATTCAGCCGCATAGAGCCTTGTTCGCCTCAATGCTGGGCCAAAACGTGCAGCTAGCCTACTTAAAATTTTTGAAGCCAGAAGCCGAGCTAAAAATGCAACAATGTGCTCAATTTCGCTGTTTTTATGTATGATTTTTTCACAATAAAACCGCTTGTAGCTTCGTCCACAGAAGCGGGAAGCAGATAAGAAGGACAGATTCGAAGTCAGTGTCTTATACTGCATCGAATGATATACAGCTTGTTTTGTTTGGCCACTTCGACTTCTGGCCATTCCCTTGTTAGAGCGACTCAAGCAAACAATGCTTTTATTCTCAACGTGAAATGAATAGGAAAGAGTTGGTAGTTAACGTCAAGGAGAGAAAAAAGTATGGATCGGTTGTAATCTAGTCGAAACTCAGAGTTTAAAACCTCCGTTAACTCAAAGGTGGTTTTGAGTTGTTTTGTTTTGAAACAGGAGTGGTAGTGATTTGGTCGATATCACCTTAACTAACAAGGAAGACGTTTTTAGTCAAAGTGGCTTTTTCAAATGAGACACACACCACTTTGAAAAGCATTGCACGATGACTTCAAGTCTGCCTTCATTATCTTCCAAGCGCCTCTGGGCGGGAGCTATGACAGTTTTTTGGAACGAAAAGTGAATGCAGAATTGGGGTGAGATTAAGTGTAGCAATCTTTCCAGCGCTCAGATAAAGCAGTGTTAAGCATTAGCATATTAGACAAAATGTATCTATTGCATGAACTGCACTGATACTCGATACTGGATCATTTGAGCAAAGTTGGGCGATTTTATTCCGATTTTGCGTTCATTTCTTTTGGAGAAAGCCAAATTATTACGTGATTTTATGTTTGAATCGAGCTTTCGATCAATCTCATGCTTGACCACCTGCATTGCATTTAAGGTTCAGGCATGAGATTTCATTTTAGCGACAAATGATTATAAATTCGTGTTCACTGTGCAGAATTACCGTAGAAGTTTCAGTGAATTTTGGCTTTTCGCAGCTTAAGTATTGACATATGGCCCTCCATTGACGCATTTGACTTGTTCAGCTTCTCAGAGGCGCCCTATCTTAATTCATCTTTGAATTTCATTCTTTTTTATTAATAAATGTATCAACTTCTAGCTACATAATGCCTAAAATTGCTTTTTGATGTGTTTGATTCAGACTTTGTGCGGCTTCATGTTTGCTAAAATCCACGAAACCTCGTTCAGCAGTTTCCGAAAAATGCTCAAATTCTTCCCACCATGTTATCAAAAACTAAGCGGTTTGCGCGTACTTGACAGAGAATGAGATTGCTACATAAGAGAAAAGTTATGAGAAAAGTTGCAAAATTATGTGCCAACCAGTGGCGTACCGAGAGGGAAGAGAGGCCCCTCCCCCTTACTCAACAACGTGCAAGATTTGTGAATGTTACTTACAGGGTTAAACATTGTGCAAATGTTGTCTGCACTTGTGGATAGTTCAAATAATTTATAGATTTTTTGAAAAATTCATTTTAGCCTTATAAATTTTTTTGAGGTGTAGCTAATGCCACGCCCCCTTTTTCGAAATTTCGGAGTTTTGAGCTAGCGAAAATTTTAGGGAGCGTAACAAAAAATTTTTCGGAGTGCGTGGCTGACGCCACGCACCTTTTACTTCGCAGTTTGGTTGAGATCAAAACAATCATAAAATAATCATGGTATCTGCTGCTTACTTGCTTTTTTCTCTACAACCGATTGAGAGGACCGACTAAGAGGTGGTCAGCAGATGGTTATGATTGTTATGTAACGACTAGTGCGTCACCTATGCTTCGCAGAGGCTCGCATTGGCTCTACTATCTAAATGCCCTACTCATTCTCGCATAATGATGGCATGGAAACTCACTGCCAATGCCGAGTATCACAAATAAACTGTAAACAACTACTCATTCTGAAAGCTTTTTTTGTGAAATCGGTGATTTTGCGTGGATGAAACTTTTTGCAGAAGAACAAACGCAAATTTGAATAGGTTTTGAATTTTTCATTGTTTTGACACACACACACACACACACACACACACACACACACACACACACACACACACACACACACACACACACACACACACACACACACACACACACACACACACACACACACACACACACACACACACACACACACACACACACACACACACACACACACACACACACACACACACACACACACACACACACACACAAACACACACACACACACACACACACAAACACACACACACACACACAAACACACACACACACACACGTAAACACCCTTAGGAACAAAGTAGGTATCCAAGTGAGCGTCAGTAGCCGCACTCCCAATGCCAAGCCTACTTCCTTAACCAATTACACTTTTTTTGTTCCTCAACATTTGATGTAGCCAATTAATTACTGTTTGTTCGCTCCGCAATGTTTGTTTACTCAAATCGATTTTGGCACACATTCACGTGTAATAGATAAAAATAAAGAAATAATGTAATATATCTAATAATAATATAATAAAATAATATCTACACGTGTAATAGATAGAAATAAAGAAAATAAATCTCTTGTATGTTCTAAATCAAAGCTGCATTCGAAATTTAGCATGTAGAACATTTTTGGAGAAACGATTCGTATTAGTTTTCGAAGTTGAATTTGACATCAGCATTTGCAATGGTCCGTGGTATTCTCTACAGTATGACATCATGTGCTCAAAATCAATACTGTATATCACTGTATTCAAAAAGACTGCGCAAAAAAAGTTGCGCATAAGAAATTTTGGAGAGCAGTGATGGTTCATTAGTTAGTAAAGGCGGTTCAGGCAATATGGATTAACTCTGCAATGGCTTGAAAAAGGCTTTCCAATTATTAGCCACATACTCAGAAACTCGCGCTCTGAGTTCGGTCAGCGATCGTACTGCAAATATCGGTTAGGTGAAGAGCACGGACGGCTACGACTGTCTGCCGCCTGTGCAGAAAGGTCAGCCTCTAGCATGATTTGACATTGGACTGACATGATATGGGATACATTAACCATTCTCCCAAATTTCTCTTGGTGCATGAAGTTCTCACAGTGTGCTGTTTTGTAAATGGCCATTTGCAACATGTAGAAATCTCAAAATTTTCATTTTCAATGAACTTCTCTTGAAGTTGGGCACTATGTCTCTATGGAAGCAATTTTTAACTTCAGCGCTTCAATTAAGGAGATCAAAAAACGCTAAAGACCAAAAGTTTATTTTTATGGATAAAGTGTTGAATCACCAGCTATAACCTTGCCTAGTGTGGCGGCGAAGGAATTAATGTCAGTCATCTTTGGAAATGAGAAATTGTTACCACCGTAAAACAATTTACACACGAGCATTTTTGTAGGCGTTGCAATTAACTTGACGCTAGTGACTAGAACAACACTGCAGATGTAAAGAAAGCTAGGAGGAAGTTCAGAATCATGGTTCTGTCATTTGTGGAAACCTAGTTGAAGAAGAAAAAATGGAACATTGTTTACCACTGCTGTTGATAAAAGCAGTTCTTAGGTACCCCCTACTACCTATTTGGCGGACCACTTGCAACGGCTTAGAATCTGCAGGCGGACCAATAATGAGTGAAGTGAATTCTCCGAAAGCTTGCGAGCTCATGCAAGTCGTCCTCTAAGGCCTCGGACAGAGTTCACGTTGTATTTCGGTTGATAGTTAGTCACGATTAGTCGTGTTAGAAAAATCAACCGAAATACAAGAAGATCGGCATGCAGTGAACTCGTAATAATTGTCTTGTAGCGATTCAATCACGTGACTCTGTCCTAGGCCTAATACGGTAGCAAAGTCTCATTTGGAATTGAATATCTCAATTGTGAGTGCACACCATCCATTGCCACTTTTTCGGTATTCGTCGAGCTCCCACTAAATTGGCTTAGATGCTGCCTTCGTGGTGGAAGTGCAAGCGATGGAATTTGGATTGAATTCTGTTCAGAAATCGACCCTCAGTTGAATGTCATTTCTAAACCTCAACATTTTTGCTATCTACTCTACCATGTGCAGTTTTGTTTAAGATCTGTAAAGAAATCTACATTCTCTAGAAAGTTCTCTGAAAATCCCACATGTTTTAGGCTGAGGGCAGTCAGATACGCTGATGTTAAAGGAGGTTTCCACTCATACGCTGCATTGTTAACACCAAAACGTAAGTACAATTCTTTTTGTTTTGATATAAAAGCAACTCTACCGCAGGCACGGGATGGCAGCATAGCTTTGTGGTCTAAAATCCTTAACGCATCATATACCTCCTTCAGCATCTTCTGCTGCACCAACTTTTGTAGTCAATTGGCTTCAGAATGCGGCAAGAACACCCTCATGTTAAACACCCTTAAAGTATCCTGTTTTCTAGGATGAGACTTATGCCATGAATGCGACGGAATTTCATTTTTCGTTTTATTTCATTTCATTCAATACGCTAAAGGCGTTCCAAAAAAATTTAACAATGGATTAGAACTGCAAAAACGAAAAGAACTTTTCATCTCATCATCACCATCCAGCATCAATCAAAGTAATACATTTGAAAGGAGGAAATCTGTCTCATGTTTGCTATGCAAGTGTCAATGTCAAGCTGTGCTAACGATTGTATGAAGATGGCTCCTCGTTTGTCATCAAAACAACAAATAGTACTCTTCATGAGCAACGAAAACAAAGGTAGCGCTGGCATGTATGATGGCTAGCCTGCCCACCCAATCTACTGGGAGAGCTCTAATACTCTAAAAAGCCGAGTCGTAGATACTGCATAGCATTAGATAACATAGGAGCGAAGCTTGAAAATCTGATTTTCAAGGGTCGACTTGATTTATTGAACAGATAAAAAGCGGGTTTGTAAGAGTTTTGACAATGAAGGGTTTGTAACAACAAAAAGCTTCATCATCGCTCCAACGTCGATCTAACCCAGGTCAGAAAATCTAGCTAACATTTAATTGATTACACACTACCGATGACTGACGCGCTGCCAGAACCGACGTAGATAACTAAGCCAAATTAAGCTCACAGAAAAAATAAAAGCGTTTTTAGTCCAAATGGGTTTCCAAATGAGCCCATACCACTTTGAAGAGCATTGCACGATGGCTCCACTGTCTTCATTATCTTCCAAGCGCCTCTGGACGGCGAGTTATGACCGTGTTCCCGAATCAGGGTACGATTTAGTGTTACAATCTTTCCAGCGCTCAGATAAAGCAACGCTAAGTATTAGCATATTAGGCAAATTGTGTCTATTGCATGCGCTGCTCCGATACTCGACACTGGACCATTTGGGCAGGTTTGAGGGATTTTGTTCCCGGTTTTGGTTCTTTTTGACCTGAAAAACGTTCATTACTCGACGTCTAGAGGAGCTGAGCAGATAAAGTAGGCAGATTTAAAATCAATGTGCAGTGCTCTCCAAAGCAGCATGGGTCCCATCACAGAAGAGCCACTTCGACTAAATACCCTTCCCTTGTTAGCTCAATACAAAGAAACAAGAAAAGAAACTTGCAGGAAGAGATAAAAAGAGAAGAAAGAAAAGCATTGACAAGGAAACAAAGGTTCAAGAAAACTTGCTACGGCCAAACTGAAAAGCTGCTTTATAAAACTAAAACTGAATTAAACTTAAATGAGAGGAAAAAATCAGCAGGGATACGGCCACAGTACAAAATGTTAGGATAAAAATTTTCAACAAGTTTTTTTTCGAAACCAACTATCTCAAGTACCAACCACCAGGGTTGACCGATTAAACCAGCGTCAGAACAGTAGAAAACACAACAATAACATCAGGTCATAACATCAATCCATTCTCCGACTCATCAGAGATTTTGAGCCTATTATTTTAATACGTTCAATCTGTGCCGTAGTATCTTCTTTTGGCATATTTCGAAGCTGACAGTGTAGGGCCATTTTTGTAGAGATTTGAAGAGCGTTTTTGATTTTTTTTGCATGGGGGATTCCAAACCTGGGAACACTTATCGATATCAGGAAGTATGCATGCTTTATACAATCAGGAACAACCAGTGGCCGTATTCATCAACGAACCCTGAGGGTTAAGCTTACCCTGGTTTGTTTAACCCTCAGGGTTCATTAGCCGTATCCATCAACCATAGGCTAGGGTTTACCACGGAGCGCGATCTACCCGTATCGATCAACGAACCTGTGGCCGTATTCATCAACCCTGAGGGTTAAACTAACTCTGGAAGGTTAAGGCATCATACGCGTGCGCTATGCAAACTCACATCACAGAATACCTAAGTACGGGCTAAATTTACTTTATACTTCTATTCTTTCACTGTTATAGTAGTATAGTCAACGAATAAGCTTCCAACACTAGTTTTTATAATACATCTCTAACATATTTGTGCAGCATCCAATTACAGCGTGAGTCTATTTTCATGTGTGCAATTGTGCCGTGTAAGTTCTACTTTTGCGCAGTCGGTTTTATACCGGGCTTGTGCTACTCTTTTAGGGGTCAATGCGTGTTATTATAAAGGGGTTCTTCTGTTTTGGCAATTGTCAGAGTGGAATGCCATTTTTCCTCGTCGCATTCATTTGTCACCAAAGTTAGAATTCTTTTTCTCGCGAAGTTAGTGATTCATGTACTTCGAATATGAACATAAAACGAAGTCGAAACTAAATACTATAACAACAACCAATACTAAATACTACAATACTCGTTGATCGTTTTCCATAAATTATTAGATGCGAGTAAATGTTTGTATGAAGTGTTAGGGTAGAGTTAACCTTGCTCTGAGCTAGGGTTAAATTAACCCTAATGAATCACGTAAGTTTAACCCTCCAGGGTTAGTTTAACCCTCACGGTTGGTTGATGAATACGGCCACAGATCTTTGACCGACAAATAGGCTGTAAGGACAGTATCATAACACAATTTCTCAAAATACAAAAAGGAGCGCCTGCTGACATTTAGAGAACTGGAATTCAGACAAATACGACTGCGCGATGCTCACCACTTATCTTTTCATGGAAATGAAGTGCAGTATGCATGGCGTGATGTCCTTCATTATGATGTCGTCTTTTGTAAACTGTTACGGTGCACACTACGCCCGACACCCCTACAATTTTTCTTAAAACACCTTCCAGCGTAACAGACTGTTGAAATGTGTACTACTAATAAATACACAATCAAACCAAAAGACATAAAAACCAAAAGAAGTCGATGAAAATGCAAGGTTGCAGTCTTACAAGCCATTGAACAGCGATGGCGTGCTATATGCACATTGGGCTACAAATGACGCGACGTTAACTTGTTGTTATGAGCATATATCTGTATTCTGCCACCTAGAAAATAAGAATAAAAGAGCAGGTTAGCCAGATCTCGACTAATGCCCTTCCACCTCTACAATACGGTCGTAGATGCGGCATTCCCCTCCAGGGTCGGGCCAGACTTGCGCGGCGTACGCATATGTGCATGAAGTTATCGGACGTACCGCTGCCGCCGCGCAGTCTGGCCCGATCCGTGAAGCGGAATGCTGCACCTACGACCGTAATGTAGAGTGAAAGGGGATTAGTTGAGATCGATTGATTGAACTGTTCCAACCGAAATGAACCGCGCATTGCCATCTTGCTTTATTAGGGTGATTGGTAAAACATGGGGCAGCTTGATTTTCATCACACTTTGAGGTTTTTTGGTTTCACCAACAACAAGAAGGCTGCAACTAAAACGTCGCTTACATGACCGACCTTCGCCTATTCTAGCAACGCGTTACCGGTCCTCTCTCATATTCGTGCGCGATGCGCCATAAAGAACTCATACAGGGTTTTTGGAACATCGCTCATTCTTGCGCTGCTATACCGTAAAGTCGTAAAGCAGATGACACATCATTCAAAGCTCCTTATGCTCTTTCAAACAATATATTAAACATACAGGATTTATTTCTATATTTAAGTAAAAAAAACGAAATACCTGAAAAATCGCGATTTTTTGGCGCAATAAAAACCAAAAAATCATGTTTTGCCTTATATTTTCCAAAGGTAGACAAAATCTGAGGTAATCTGAATATGGATGGATAGAGCGTAGAAAGCTCTACCAGATGGTACTTAGAAAACATGTGTTCGTCTGCAAAAAATTGAATAACGCGGATCTTTGTTCTCGAAGCTGCAAATGGCCATATATCCCGTCTTTGAAAGTTGACGCCATTAAGCCGTCGTGGGTTTAGTGACTTTCCCACCACCCACTCCAGCAGTGGTACTTAGGGTGTCTCACATGTTTCACTGCGCAGATACTGCCCAAAATTTATAATTTGTCAAAGTGACTAACTTTGCATTTCAGCCACGATAAAAATTATCACGCATGTAAATGATCTTATATAGGTATTTTCTGGAAGAGAATAATTTATTCTAACATTTATCAAAATTTGGAAGTTTAACCACTTTTCTTTTTACAGAAATCTACAGTTATTCTCTAAGTGCCCCATTTTTTACCGATCACTTCATAGTTCGAGTACTACTTTCTTAAGCAGAAAGCTACGAATTTGAATATATTGGTCAAGAAAAGTAAATAGGTATTACTTAATGCCATCCATTTCACATCAACAAAAAACTCAGAGTCTGGAGAGAAGATTTTCTACCACTAAGCTTCCATTCTTTCAGGTAATGAGCTTTGACTGCATGCATACTTACCACAATAACACCAAAAGGTATCAAATTCCGTTGTATTTTGGTAATTGGGAGTTTGCTAATTGGTGCACTTTATCTACTCGCTCAGTATTATGCAAATAAAACACTTATCGAGCACAGAAGTCCGGTGCGAACAGAGAGGAAACTCGCAACACTTTTCCAAATCTGAAGTTGGAAAAGCGTGCCACCCTTGAAGACAGCCATCCGAGAAGTGGAGGGTAACAGGCTTCTGCAGCAGTATATAGTAGGAAGCTAGTGAAGCGGCAATTGAAACTGCGGCGAAAAAGGGGGTTTTCGAAGCTAATTGCTACAAAAGTAAGCCGGCCTTCAAACTGAATGCCGCCAAACCATCAATTTCATGTTGCAAGCAAGAGTGCGGATTGTTACTGTTATGACTTAGAGTCTCGTTCGCGGACTTTGCTCTACTTCCGAATACAAAAGGACTAGCCCTCTCTAAACATTTTTGCGCTTTCAAATCTATCCTTCAAATGAACGAAGAAGCCCCGTGGGCAGAAAGTTTTTATTTGATAGTTTTTTGGGGC